AAATGAAACCTCAGTTTTCTGGTCCTCGTATGTGCCCCTACAATATGCACAAGACCATTTTGAAAAAGCTCACCACGCCCTGAACGACCTCCCTTGTTAGGGTTTTACGGTTTTATTTTGGCGCCTAAACCTCCGCCCGGAAAAAATGCCGGACGAGTTTTACGGGCGCAGTCGTCCACTTCGGCCACGCGTCCCTTTAACTTCATTTGAATTAGGATACTTCAGTAAGAGCGGTATTTTGTGAGATTATCGCTTTTGTGCGTAATCACAGTTAATATTTTCGAGATCTGCTTCTGCTTCGATTAGGAAACATATGAAACCTGAGGTGCAACCGGAAACTTGAGCACACCAACTGCATCTTCTGTTTTTTAGGGACTACATCCCGTCGGGTGCCACCATTTTTAGAAGTTCTGCCACTCAGCGTTGGATTTCAGCGCAGAAAGATATCTACAACCTATCTTCGGTATGTAAGCACCTTACCAACCTTTGTACGGAACCGCTCTTATAAGAGCTGTTTGTTAAATGTCCGGCGGGCGAAAATTTCCGGTTGACATGCGTGTTTGGAGACATCTTTGACTCGCTCAGCTTTAGAGGGCTCTCAAGTGAATTGAGTTTAGGAGAACAACAACAAATCTCAATTAGATCTAAATTCATACTAAATTTCTTCACAATCCGCAATGGTAAACGAATTCCAGCAAAATACTACCACAATGTTTTAAATGCAAGATGGAATGGAGAAGAGTACAGCTGCGTGGAGACGTGAATAAACTCCCTCAGGACCACTTGGCAGATGTTTCTGCTTCGAATCAACAGCAGTATAGTCCACAACATAGAAACGTTGCTACATGCGTTCTCCCACCATTCTGTAGGTGAATGATAGGAGCCCGAGTACATATCTAACTGCTGGAGCCATTGTTACTCATGCAGGAGTTCCGAAACCCACCACAACCACATAGCCAAAAGCAGTATGTGCCTAGTAGAGCACGAAACCGGAACTCATTATCCACTTTCGTCAGCCTTTCAAAGAAGATCTCGATAATATTGACTGTGATTACGCACAAAAGCGATGATCTCGCAAAAGCCGCTCTTAATTGAAGCATTCTTAATTCGGACGAAGTCAAGGGGAGCAATGATCCCACAACGAAGTGGACAATTTACGCCTGTAAAGCTCTTACGGCATTTTTTCTGGTGCACGTTTGGGCAACAGTGGGTTTTACAAGCCAGAAACGGCCAGAGCAGCAGCCCCGTCCACCTTCGGTAAGCCTGTCATTGCGTAAGAGTGTGACTGCGCTTAGATCATTTTTCTTTCAAAAAATGCCCGAATTTGGGCCTCATGTTACTATACAAAGCAAAGTCTACTAAGCTCAAGGGACTGGAACTTGAACTGAATGTCTGTTTCCCTTCTAGTTGTACTTCTGTTTGAGATATTCACCTATTTCGTATTGCAACATGCATGCCTATATTGGCTCTTTGTGTGTCACTCCTAAACACTGACTTAGTTTTTCCAACCGATGGCTTTCATTACTTACTCCTGATGATATAATATTCATTCTATCTGTGCCTTTCTCTCTCTAGGGAGGCTCGGGGATAGGTGTACTAAACTGGTTCGTCTATTGTGAGTCCACCTACATTGTTAATGGCCGTCTCCAAATTGCTTACTTCTTCCCTCTTCAAGATCAGTCAGTAGTGTGCGTAATGGATAGCTTTGTTCAAGGCAGTGTCTTGTCTGGTGCGGATGCTGACGCATGTCAGGAGCATGGGATTGGCTCATCCATAGCCAGTTTTCCACGAATTTTTGTAGCGTGGCAAGAGACAACAGTTGGTTAAAAAAGGATTTGCCAGACTCAGTCCCAACAACTACAAGGAACAAGACGTTTAATGATCCCTGTGAGAAGATTTCAATGAATGCGACACAGCAACAACATTTATTTTCTGATGCAACCTTGTCTGCATATGTCGTTCAGACCGCCAGTTTGCCATACATTCCTAAGACATTTCTACGGCTGCATTAGTCAAGCTTTCAATACAAAGCAAAATCAAGTGCTACTCCTTATAATAAGCTGGCTCAATAACAACCGCCGCTGACAATCCAGAAATCCTGCGTGACCTCTGTTTCTATGTAGGGATCATAAGGATAGCCTGGAGGAACGGAGCTCCAATAGACGAAGTCGTCATACTGGCTTCTCTTATATTCGCGGATCTTCACAGAGCTGTAGCATTGTAGAGTTCCGTTATATATGCATGGCTGAGGCAATACTGACATAGTAGTCTTGGAGTAGCCAGTTTTCTGATAGGCGTTGCCAAAGAAGAAACGCATGTAGTCTGAAATTCGTATTTTAATCTACCTGCTCGAATTAAGGGTAGGTATACTATGTGAGTTAATGGGATATACAATCTGCTCACTCCTGTCTTTACATGTGGTAAAATCTCCTTGCAACAAATCTGCCCAGCACTGACAAACCTGCAATGGCATTTCAAGCAAAATTTGTCCTTGCTAGACACTCTATCTCTTTTTTGATTGTTTGATAGCTTCTGTACCGCGTGCACGGTGGGCCCTTCTCTGTGGGCTGAGGGCTGGCCTCCCTACTTCCCTACTGATTGAGCGGAAGAGGTGGGGAACTGTGCACCACTTTAGGAAAGGCGACCACCCTCTCTACCATTTATTGGACTTCCTACCAATTTTTCCCTAATTCCCCGAAAAATTTCCTACCTTCAAAAAGTTCGTGGGGTGGAGGGTTTGGGTGGTGTATAGTACAAATGAAACAGGAGAAACCTCTGGTACCCAGCAACCTCTCTCAGAAAGTCACAAACCAAATACGTCCTTCCCCCTCAACGACGAGAAACTACTACCTATCCTTCACAACGTCCTCTTAACGAGAAAAATCAACTATCAAAACGATTTTTCAGAACGACCCCCTCTTCCAGCGACTAAATGCGACTCTCCTCATGTTGGGAGGTACCAACAACGACTCCAACGCGTCCACACACCCAATGGTTTCCGGGGATTACGACTATAACTAAATATACTAACTTCGAATCATTGTGGAATACCGCGACCGTAGCCTTTTTTTGATATTCCTCCATGCGTGAATGTCAACGAGGTGATTTAATACTCATCTTCCCACATCAAAAACAGAAAAATTGCTAATTGTAGAAGTCGTGTATGTAAGGTTTCAGAGCCAACTGAAGGCTTACCTCCACTACGTGTGTAAACTGGAACCGAGTTACACTCCTTGAGTTCCATTCCCAGAAATTGCATGCTGAAAAAACGAAATTTCGATCTCCACATAGAACAAAGTTCTTCGTCAATTGTGAGCAGAGAACGGTAATTACCTGCAAATTTTTTTATACCCCGGTATAGGGTCGGTGCCATTCATAGCGTATGCATGAAATCCATACGTGGGATCCTTGTAGACGTTAACGGTGACTATTGATGCATTAAATGGGCACTGCTGTTCTTCGATTGTAAGCTTGTCGGTAGCGTTGACCTTTGTATAGTTTTGGTTGGCAGCGCATCGTACAACGCTACTGCACACTGCACTTGAAGTGCTCTTTTCTGCTCGATTGATTCCGTACACTTTCGGATGTGCAGGAAATACTACCCCACCCCTCATGTAAATATTGCATGACGTATCCTGAAAATCAGATATTGATCTTTCCTCGTAGGAAAGATTAGAGTGTACGAATTATTTCAACGATATTCGTTGATACTAGGTTGGAAGGAAGTTCTGTCAGTGTTTTTTGAAAAGCTTACAGTTTTTGATTCTCGATGCTCGTACATGACGTAACATGCTATGCTTGTAGGACACTCTGGGAGCTTTCCTGCAAGAGGCGTGTGAGGGCGCCTGCTCTTCCCTGGGTTTAATTACGATGTCAGTTTCACAGGAGTATCTTCGGGTCATCATCTTCTATCAGTGGCCCCGCGGCACTGGAGCCACGGCAGCTGTCCGTAACATCAACAGTGCATTGAGGGAGGACACCACTACCGTCAGGACCGTTCACTTTTAGTTCGCTCGCTTCGCGAAAGGAGACACGATCCTCGAAGACAAACCTTGGTTGGGGCGGCCCCACAGAGTGCGAGAATCCACCATTCTCGAAGCAGTCAAGGAGGATCCAGAGGCTACCACCGCAGTCTTGCGACAAGACTCGGATGTACCTAACTGACAGTCGTCCACCGCCTGTAAGCCTTTGACTACCAAGAAGTACTGGCTCGATGGATCACTTGTACCTTGACCGATGGCACATGGGTACCACTTAGTCAGTCTCCCCTTCTCTGCCCCAGAAGGAGTTTCCAGGAAGCTGCTTAGTTAGTGGGATGAGAGATGGGTCCTCTATGATTTCAACCCACACAGTACCGTTTGTCTCTCTCAAGGAGAAGATCCATTCTAGCAGTCCAAACCGGGCATGTATTCCGAAAGGTTCTCCTGTGCTGCTCCTGGGACGCGAGGAGGATACTGCAGAACGAGCTGCCCTGTAAGAACAGACGGTCACCGCTACCATTTGTGTCGCTCAGCTCGTGAAACCGGTGGAAATTGTTGGAAAAAATGACCGAGACTAGCTTCGGGTCACCTCGTTCGTAGTACGCGAGACCCCATACCTGCTATGAAGACCTACCAAATAATTGAGGAGCAAGGCTGGGAGACCAGTCCCCGCTTATCATATTCTCCTGACGTAGTGCTCCTACGACTGCTACCTGATCCGCCTCCTTAGGGCGGATCAGGTAGCAGTCGTCTTAGCAGTCTGTCTTAGCTAAGAAATCTTTCAGCAACTTCGATGACATCAATCGAGAGGACTGACTTACTCTACTCGCAGCCTTCTCAGTTCTGGGAGGAGGGGAATGCTTACCTGTCCATGGGTGGAGCACTGTGGTGGCTAACTATGAACAGTATATTGTTATAGATGTATAACAGTATATTCAACTGGAAAATAGAAAAGACCTATACAATGACCTATATAATGCTTAGGTTCGTAACGAGTTTGAAACGAGTTTACAGCTTCAGCGAAGTAAGGCAACGAAGAAACTAGCGAACTAGAAAAATGGTTCTCCTTTTCCTTGAGAAACAGACAATGCAATAGCGATTTGCCGCGTCGCCGTGCGCGGCGTGGAAGCGATGTGTGGCAAAACCTGACGCGTGTCATTATGTCGATTGGAGCAGCGAAACTCGTATGAATTCAAGCGTAGACAAGACTCCATGACGGAAGTTGCCTAGATGCTCTCATCCTTTCAACACTCAAACGGCAGTACACTTTAAAGTTCAATGCGACAACAAGAATGTTACGAGAAACGTCTGTAAAAATTTCTGGTATGAAGTTACTGTACCGTAGGTATCTGAGAACCATTGCCGTAGGCCACATAGATACAGTCCAAATCGTTGTAGCATGCTTGGGCACATTCGTCAAAGCTCTTATAGGTTGGTATAGTATATTTTAGTGCTGCTGTGAATGAACCTGTAGTTTTCAAAAGCATGCATGGAGCTAGTAGTCTTGCCTGAAAATGCCACTTTCTAGAATAATTTGATCAGCTCACTGAAGTTTGCCGAGCTATTAAGGTTTTTTTTAGAGTGATTTGTTTAAAAATTCTCAAAGCAATGTTTTTAAAAAGAACCTGGAGCAGAAGGACCCCGAGAACGAGAAGCATCTTTCTCTGGTTTCCGGAAATAGCAGTCCTGAAATTCAATTAGCTTGGGGGAGAGAGGGGCGTTATAAACAAGTTGAGCTTCCTGTTACAGGGAATCCAAGCTCAAATTCTTCTACTGCAGTTATGTGAGGAGAATTGACACAAGTCAGGATAGACTTTGTGCTGAGGAATGTGGCTGGCATCTCACATGAGGAAGGGCTACCATAGTGACAGCAAACGTCACATCTTACAAACCATAAACATATCAAGGCTAACTGGACAATTTTCGAAGAAGAAAAATGTGATTTGTATTGAAGCCAGTTTGATTTTGATTGATTTTCTCTAACAAAGTGATTCGAAAGATGCCCTCAAATGTGACCCCTTGTTGAGCATTCGCCTCCTTTCGATAAAGTGATTGGTATACAGCAGGGAAACAGAGAATAACAAGGCATTCTTCTTGACAATCCTAGCAGCACTTCAAAAGGACTTCATTCACCAAATGACTGCAGTTAGTACGTAGAGATGTCGATGTACTACGTGCCCAATAAACTGCTACTAGGAAAAAGGTAAACGATTCCGCTTAAAGCTGAGTTATAACATCAACTCAGATCAGATCACAGCCTTTAGCCCGGAGTCATCCGCTGTAGTCCAGGGGTAGTTCAGTGTTCTTTCGTAAGCTTCAGAATAGTGTTCTGAGAATCTTCGTGTAATGCAGAACAGGTCTTAACTGGAGAAGTGGATCAACCCCCCCCCCACTTTTAGACAGATTCCAGTGGAAAGTTAAAGGAGAATGACGAATATTTAACTTCGATTCTCCACTCCCTTTTGACTCAACGCGAACATTCCAACATCTCTCGGGATTCTTGATTAGCTACGCGATAGTTCTCCCTCTATGTAGAGCCGGACGATGGTAAACCACCATGGTTGGCCTTGCTAGAGAGCTCGATTCAGAGGCAGTTGGCACGGTAACTCTTTGAGAGGAGTAGGATTGTTACCCCTAGCAGGGCAGCCCTCAGCAGCGCTTTAAGAAGAGTAGGATTGTTACCCCTAGCAGGGCAGCCCTCAGCAGCGCCTCTCCCGAGAAAGCTACTCTCATGGCGCCCTTTCAAGCTGCAATATACCGACCTGGACACCCACCACGCCCACACGCCCGAGCGCTCAGTGCACAACCGATGCTGGCACTTTATCGCTTCATTTGCGATGTACAATATGAAGCGAAGGGACTGATATGGAGCGGCTGCAGTGCTGTGGGTATATGAATGAATGAAGACATGCAGTCGTTTCCACACCAGCTGTGCCTAGCACGATGACAGCTGCAAACTCGTCCGAAATTGCTTCTGAGTCGTGTAGAACAAAGGGTTCTTTTGCAGGTTATTGACCGTTCCACTTATTTTTGCTCTATTTAGCCACGCATAGCACCCCTGCTACCATTTTGGACCTGCTATCGAATTAGCGTGCCTTATGCCTTTAGTGCCCCGTTCTACCCCTATATCGCCTGAGGAAACCACCCGTTGGTTCCCACTGGTGGTGTCACCCGTCTATGAAATTGGCGCCCCTCTGGTTCCATGGCCTTTTATCGGATCTCATCAGCTGTGATAACGCTCTATTACAAACTGAGTTTCACATCCCATCTGCGACGTTATCTTTTGGAATTGGCTTCCTGCATTTCAGCGGATCTTATCAGCTGTGATGAGTTCTGTCACCCACCAATAAGTGTCCCATACCCTGCATCATATCTTGGAACAAACGTCGCACCTTTGCTGCGACCGGCGCTATGAATTTGGTTACCCCTCCTTTCTGAAGCCTCTTATCAAGTATTATCAACTGTTATCACTTCCTTTTAGCCACAGTAATGTCCCTGGTGTACCCACTACATCACTGACCAGTTTAAAATTTCTATAGCCCACCAATAAGGTCAACTAGTCGGCTGCTTCTTCACTTTGGGAGCTCTCTTATCAGTCCCCATCGCTGCTATAAAAGCTCATCCTTGCCCAAAAGGCATTTCATTTAAGCATTTTCGCCCGTTAGGCACTTGGTATACCTCTAATAAGAGAACATATAGCTCTCCTGCTGAAGTATATCCGATCGCTGAGCGTCCAGCTTTTGGAAGAAGAAGTCAAGTTGGATGCGGCTACGGCTGCACGGCCAGGGTACAGCACCGTTGTGTGAAACCCTTAGGTAGGTCGTACTAGCCCGCTGGGGAGGGAGGGGTTGTAATCTCAAGGGTCAGTCAGCGCCGAACAATGCTTTGACATTTCATTATAGTGGGAGTGGAGCTATGGAAGCCAAAAAAGGAAACTATTATAAGCGTACTCTGCTCTGTACTTCTTTACAGATTAATCCTCTCCGCTTAACAGCCCTCTTTTCATGGGAAATCCCCAGAAGGGGGATCGTACTTGGCCGCGGGGGACGTGGGGAGTATCGCAAAAGTAGGCTCGCTAGGCATCAAACAGTACAAAAGTGTCATTGCTAAGTTTGATGGAACGGACGGAAAGCTGCAGAAGACCCGGATGTAAGGAGGACTACAAAATAATAAAAAATTGATTAGCAATATAGCAAGAATAGCAAGAATAAATAAATAAATAAATAAATAAATAAAATTAATAGCATGACTAAATAATACGTCTCAAACAGATTCGTGCGTATTGTCCTTTCCAAACCCTAAACAAACATCTGCTTGCATGGATAAAAGCACCTGAAATCAGAATTTACACCTTTCCACCACCTCTGCGTAGGAGCGTAATGCACGGCGCACACTCGGACCAAATCGATGATAGCCGAGCTCCTCTTTCACTCATTTGAAGGGAAATATGTGTTTTGAAGGCACACTAAAGTTTCCGAAGGTGTATCCTGACAATGGCACACAGGGAGTCGAACTTTTGAGTAGCTCAGAGGGTAGCTTTTTGGTAACCCATCTAAAATATCTCCTGAACTAGCGGGTCTTCAGGAAAACTGTAAAGCTTGTTGGAAAGAGAAAAGATAGGGCGCTCTTCAAGACGATTTTGGTCCTGATGAAATTGCGTTCGAAATAAGTAATCCTCGTGTGAAGCATAAAAACCCGCTTGCGATTTACCCGCCTATCCGAAATATTTCACGAACGGGGAAACATTCAGATTGCAACTAGGTAGAAAACGCAACAGTAGGAACATTGCCTTTGCATGCTGCTAACTATTCCTCGAAGGCCGCGCACTTGGCAGGTCTAACGACCGCGCTCCAATGACTTTTTTCCAGTGAAAGCGGTCGCAACGTTGCGATCGATAATAGCCGAGTATAGAACGATATACTGCCGCCTGGTTATCCATTTTTTTCATTTGGCTCCGCATTTTTTGTATTTTTCATGTTTCGCTTTGTTGTGTCGTGCATATTTTCATGATTCGTCACCGTTCATTGAATGCGGGGCTTTATGCACTGACCTTGGGGCTATTTTTCCACCAATTTAGCCTATCAGTGATAATCATTAGTCACTGTTTCGATTGTGTTCCTTGTTACAAGTTGCATGTCATACATGGTTGACGAGTTTTATTTTGAATCCTAAGACAAAATTGTAGGTAATGCGAGGCTGTTGTTCAGCCTCATATTGCATGAGGCTGAAACAGCCTCTTATTGCCTGGATTTCAGAGCAGAGTCCGCCTTTCGTACTCACACCGCCATTTCGTACATCCCCATGCTGTACCCTGTGCATGGCACTAAGAAAGGAAAAAGGTGACCCAGGAATGTGAGTTATTATGAGGACAGCTATATATGCATGGGATCGCTGCCCTGTTTTCAGAGCTCGCTTCACAGCCTTAGTGCTACTGGTAGTAAGCATGGGCGGCAATTGGAGGGCCGGTACTGATCGCTCAGTTGCTCTTCGTCCTCTTCTGCGCCTTTACTCATGAGGTAATAATCCAATCTTCTGTTTCTCAAGGGTTGCAAATCAGAAGAACCATTCGCGAGACGCACAGAAACTAGGCAGGGCATATGCTAGCTAAGTGACACGAATACTGTAGCGCGTCCCCTCATGTCCGTTGGGTCTAATGTCACGCGCGACGTTACTAGTAACGCCGCGTCGCCCACCCCACTTTTTGACTTTGACGGCTGGAAGTGAACTCAGGGCGAATAACGATTAACAGAATCCGGGCGGCGTGACACACGTGGTTTGTCATGTATTTGTTGTATTTGTCATGTTGTTATATGTTGTAATGTTGTCAAAACGGGTTTTCGGTTACGGAAGATACCTTATGATACGCTTATGAGCAGCTGGGAAGTCGGATTACTGACAAGAGATAATCTGAGAGAGGGCGCAAAATGTCAAACCCATCCTTAATAGTTATGGAGCAAGCATTTTTATAGACTCCTCAATATCGATCGTATCCGTCGTGTACGTTGCCAATGTTGGCGCATACCGTCTTAAGCACGCTGGCAGATGAGATGGATTTGGCTCCATGGACACTCATTACTGCCGCAGCACTTGATTGCGCGGCGACGTGGAGTATACAAGAAGAGCAGCCGAGAAATAAAGTGCGGCAAGAGTGCTAATCACTTTGCACAATGATAGCCAATGGACTAGAGTCTCTCCCACTATTCGGTGACCGGCGGAAAGTGCTTGATAAAGACGCTAGTTGTTAGCAAAGACACACTTACAACGTCCGCTCAACGTGAGTACAGATTTAACTTCAATCCGATTTCACCAGACAGGATCATTCAGTCAGACTGCACAGAGCTCTCCTCCTTTTCTTAATAGCGGCTATGGCTTCCTGCAGGTAGATGATCGAAGTTTCGTGATGGATTCTCCGTCACATAGCTGCGTGAATCGTAATGGAGGAGGATACGCACGCACGAGGCTCAGATCCAGACTGCTACAGTTGAGGTGTTTATCACAATCAAACCGACATACTAGTTTGTTACTTTATTATGGATTAGCTCGCACTTCTTAACGGCTGTATCCTCTTCTCTTGCTGCGTGCACTCAAGCGTGCGCTACACATCCCCTTCCTTCGCCCACTGTACCCCCTTCACCATATTCGTGCTCTGCTTCTCCTG